GCTTCTAGGATGCTCGGAGTCTAAGGCTTTTGTTCAAGCCATACGGAGGGAGGTTCCTGGCGTTACCCGTGCCACGACGGAGTTGCCTGTTCAGTTCTCCCAGCTGCCTTGGTCCCGTAGGAGTTTGTGCACGAAGGTAGCAATGCACAGGATTTCCAGACGCCAGCGTTACCGGCAGCCTCGCTGTGCGGAGGTCTGACTGTGCGTCCTGGGTTTCTTCTCTTCTCCCTCCCCTGTTTTTGGTTTGGTTTGTTTTTCAAAGACCAATAAAGCAGTCCTCGGAGGTGGCGTAGGGCGAAACGTGCCTCTTCTCCAGCGCAGCGCTGTTCCCTCTCGGTAATTCCTTCTTGCAGACCTCTAGCAGGAAAGCTCCTGCCAGGAATCCGCCCCCGTCCTTATCCACTTATCGGGAAGTTCCAGTTGCCGAAGTCTCCGGTGCTCCTTAGTGTGTTTGTAGAAGTGACTTTGTCCAAGACTTCCATCTTCAAAGCCACCCCCCGGGCTCTGGCTGCCTCCTGAGGCTTTTGTCTGTCAAAACAGCAACGGCCCTTGTTCAGCGTGAGCTCAGTTCAAAGGACTGACGAGGCTGTCTCGTGCCCTGCAGATCCTCTTGGGTTGCTCTAAGAATCTCCCTCGTCTTTTACGCTCCGTCCGTGACCCCAAGCATTTATGCTCCTCCTGCAAAAGCTGTTGCTGATTCTCTGATGTCTCATCGGGGCACGGGCTCACCTCTTCCCTCCATCTGCCGCCTGCTTTTAGAAAACCCCCAGGACTGAATTCTTCTGCAGCTTTTCCTGCTCCGAGTGTGGTTGGAAGTGGCTGAGGAGCTCAAGTGAGCGGTCTCGTGTCTTTTCTCCCCGACCTTGTGCAGATGCGGGCATGCACATGCTAAGCAAAAGTAACCCTGTCTTATAAAATGCGATGAAACGGTGGTCAGACCTTTGCTTTGCGCGGGCAGCCCTGCCGCGGTGCTGGATCGGTGATGGTCGGGATGGTGCTGGAGTGGGAAAACGGGAGCCCACAGGGTTTCCTACCTGGAAGGGAGGGCAGCTGTGGGGCCGAGGAGCCGGCGCGGCCCGGGGAGCGTGGGCTGGGACCGAGCGCGTCGGAACGCGTGCGGGAGGACAGGACAGAGTCTCCTCTGGGGCAGAGAGGTTTTTAAATCTGCTCGAGGTTTCAAATTATTATTTTTTTCTTTAATTGCATGTGTGGTGTGTGTAAGCACGAGAGAGATGGCTTTGGTGTGTAATCTTTGAATATAACCTTGATACTGCAATGCCCGCTTAATTAGATAGAGTGACACTCATGAACTCTCCCAGGTGTTTTGTTTAACTTCGGCAATTGAATGAAATCAGTACGATTTCACAAAATGTTCTGCTTGGCTGGACTTCTCTTTTCAACTTCTCTTCTAAGCTGTAGCAAGTGGCCGGCCAGGGAACGTCTCCTTTCCCGACGAACCCGGAGCCGCAGCACCGGCTTACCCGGCCCGAGCTCTCGCTCTGCCCTCCCAGCCGAGCCTCAGGAGCGGCAGGGGCCGGCGCGGTGACCCTGCCGCCTGCGGGACCCGCACCTCGCACAGGTACAAGCTGACGTTTCTCGGCTCCCGAGAGGTCCCGAGCAGTGGCAGGCTTCTCGAGAGGCGTCGCTCGGAGGGCAGGTTTCCTGTGGGGGTAGTGAGCATCGCCCGCCTTGCTTTCCTGGAAGTCAGTGGATGGCAACAAAGCGAGTTAAAATCTGCAGCTGCTGATACGACCATCTCGTCGCTGTGGGCAGCGCTTCCTCTCGTGTCAAAATGGCTCTGCCTCGAGGCACAGCTCCCTTCGCTCCGTCCCATCTCTAAACGGGTCCAGCCCCTCCTCCGTGCCGGCCGGTGGTCCCTTCAGACGCAGGCACCGCGAGCGGAAGCCCTTCGCTTGGCGAGGGCGTCTGCTCAGGGCAGAGCCGTGCTGCTCGTGGACGAGCGTCCCCCAGGATTTCTCAGGCTGGGGCCGAGTCTGGGGGCTCCCGGGGCACTGAGGGCGATCCGCCCGAGAAGTGCAGGCAAAAGTATGTGGTCCTGGCCAATTCGTTGGTTGCAAATGAGACCAACCGTCAGCCTTGCCCAAATAAGGCCCTTGCAGGAGGGGAGGCAGTGGCTGGGGAGGTTTCTTTGCTTTGTTTGTTCCCCTTTTTGAGAACCACCACTTTGAAAAAAGTTCCAGACAGAGCAGCCTTTGCCTCTCTGCTCTTTACAACAGCAAAAAGCACACTTGCTTCCTCTGCAAAGCTGCACCATCTTTGGCTTCCCATTTATTTCAAGCTCCCTCCAGAGCAGGAATTGCTGCTCTGCAGGGAGGTCATTGCATAAAATAACTTAATGCAAAAGTTCAGGCCAGTGCAGCTCTCCCTCCTGAGGCTGGCACCCAGGAGCAGTCTGTGCTGGGGGGTCCGCGCGAGCTGCAGCCCCGGCAGCTGCACGCAGTGGGCATCTTCTTCATCCAGTGGCTCCCCGCCCTTCCCCCGGGCCCCCAGCCGAGAGCTCTGCCGAGCCACCCCTTGGCCTAGCGCGGGGCGCCGGTCCCGCTTCCGAGGCGTGCTGGCGTGACAGCAGCTGGCTCTCTTCGGGCAGCAGTTCTTCACACCATCGCCTTCCTGTTTATGAAACCCTGATCCTTCCCCCCCCCCCCCATGCTGTTCCCAGTGCTCACTGGGATGTAACTGGATCCTGGCAGGAGGCAAAGGCAGTCCCTGGCTATTCTGATTTAAATCTCTAGAGCTAGCGAGTGTCCTGTTTTATGGAGCTGATGTTGGGACTTGCTGGAGCTTAGCCCTACGGTCTTGTCTGCTGGCACAGAATTGGATGACAGCAGCTTTAACCTGTGCTCTGGGAACCATTTGTATCTGGCACCCCTGGGTCTGGGGATCGTCTTTCCTAGGACGGACGTGCCAGCGACAGCAGGTTCACGCAGAGTTTCCAGCCGGGTCTTGGCACTGCAGTGCCAGCGGGCCCCCCGCTGCTGCTCGGACAGCATCATCCCGCTTCTCCCAGGATCCAACTTTTTGCTTTACAAAAATATGGAATAAGGCCTAGAAGCAACTTAATTCTGCCCTAAAATCATCAAACTCGCCCGGGACGTCTAAGGTCCCTTGGAACTGTGATGGAGGAGGGCCTTGCCTCAGCTCAGCCCACGTGTCCCCTGCCCTTAGACCCACAACCTGCCTATTCGCATGCAGCTGCCTGCACCGCAGTTTCCTTTGGTTTGTGCTTCTTGCTTTAGATTGATCGCCTTATGTTGGGATCATTACCTGCTTGTTTGGTTCTGGTCCCTTCTCTTGGGAGCACAGACAGCAAAGCAGCAGAGGTTTGCACTCCTGCAGCAGCCTTTCCCTCCGTGGCTGCCGACTGCATCTGAAGCGAAGAGCCGATGGCTTCAGCTTCTGACCAGGGCTGGGTTATGGTCTCTCGGTTTAGCAGAGGGCTGCAGGATGGGACTCTTCCTTGTGAAAAGCCTCAGGAATTCAAAGTGCTGTTTCTAGGGGAGGAAAGGGGCAGGCAGGCTGAGCCAGGTCCCTGGCAAGGCAGGACAGGGCGAGGATGCAATTCTTTGTGCCCACATTAACACACAGGTCAGAAAACTGATCAGAAGAGAGGCCAGACCACGAACCAGGGTACTGCATCGTCCCATCTCACGCTGAAGCATGCCTGCCTTCTGCAGCTGCTTTAATTCCTTGCAGGAGCCGCAGCTGCCCAAATGTAAGCTCCAGCTTCTGTGTTTCTCTGCTGCAGAATTATTGTGAGATCCCTTGTGCCTCCTGCCACTGAGGAGGGAGCGATCCCCCGGGAAGCAGGCTGTAGGAGTGGGAAAGAGCTATCGGGATGCTCCGTGGAGACACACCTGCAGCCTGGCAGCAGGCTGAACGCCGCAGTCCAGGGCAGCACTAAGCTTAGCAGTTGCAAAAGTTGCATGGATCTGGAAAGAAGTTC